ACTGGAAATGCTCGATAGTGAGACCGCTTCCCAAAAGTGATGATTCGAGTAAATTAGAAAACTATAGACCGATCTAGTTGACTTCGATATTATCCAAAGTTCTCGAGAAGGTTTTTAAAAAGTGTCTGCTGTCGCTCTTTGAATCGATGGACGTATTGACACCAGCGCAACACGGCTTAACGAAAGAGAGACCCCGCGTCACCAACTTGGTGTACGCAAACCACCAGCTCTCAACGAACGGAAGGATGTTGACGTGGTGTACATCGACTTTAGTAAGGCGTTTGACAGAATGAACCACGAGGTACTCCGTCGAAAAACAGAGGATATACGGAATCGGTGGCACGCTACTTCGGTGGTTACACAAGTTTATTGTGGGACGTAAGTTTAGAATGCAGGTCAATGACTACCTGACAGACTGGTTCCCATCGACCAGTGGCGTGCCTCAAGGAACTGTACTCGGGCCAGTATTATTTCTTATTCATAGCAACGATCTTCTGCAGCAGCTCCAGTCGTCATGTGCTCTATTTGCAGATGAGTTGAAAATCTTGAGGATCATTGAAAACCAGGACGACTGCGCTCGCCTCCAGCAAGACTTAGATCGATCGTCAAAGTGGTCCACTGAAGTGCGACTCCTACTTAACACAAGCAAGTCGGAGTTCATTAGTATCACCAGAAGTCCAGCCACTCAATCATACACTTTGGACGTCCAGTTGCTCCACCCTAACACATCTGTCAGAGACTTAACAATGCTTTCGCGACATGATATGAGATCACTAGAAAATACAGAGAAATTGTACTGTGCGCGACTTCGTATGCCCTGAGCATTACGACGCAGTTTCTGCACATGGTCCGAAGAAACCGTCCATCGGACTCCACACATTATCCTAACGCCGAGTAAGAATTGACTTTATTAGGACCCATCGAGTACTACACTTGAATCACTTCTCCATACTGCGGCCAATAATTCACCTGTGGGAACGCTGTAACAACCGAGGAAACCATTGCAAACTAAGGATCTCCTGAATGAACAAGGTATCACGTCAGCTTCGTATAGAACGAAGAATCGTGAACTTATAGAATACACTACCAGGAGGACTAAGAGAGGCCGATTCTGTGAAGTGTTCCAAAACACGTATCGAGGATTATTTCGGAGGCTTGTGCTTTTGTGAAACGGTGCACATAGAATGCAAAAATACATCCTATAACCGGAAATATTGACACCAATACGAATTCCTAACCGAACAAGGACAAACGATTAACTGACCAGGCATTACCACTGACGATACGCAATTAAATGTTTTTGATTTTTCATAATTCGATAAGGTTGTACAGAAGTTTTTCTGCCTGCTCTTAAATACAGTCTCAGTCTCAACAGTCGATGGGGGTTCGAAATTTCCAACACGTTAGAATTCAAAAATGGTTGGTCATGGCGCACTAACGGTGGCACTTTTCAGTTACGCTTACTCGGCGATCTCACCATTTAGGGATGGTGCCGTAGAAGTACACGTAACCGAAAGCGGCCAGTCGATTAATGCCCTAGCACACAACAGCCATGCCCCAGATCCCTACAACAATGCAGACAGCACGGTGGCATATTAGGCCATACCTATGAGTGATAAACTGATAACCCGTCGTCCCTGAAAAAGAATCATGGCTCGAAAAACCATACATAACTTGCCGATATGTGCAGTGACCCATTCGGTGGTTTTGTTGCAATAGACACAACAATCAAGGCGATAAACGAACCTCTTAACTAGGTAGCACATCAGTCCATAGTAGTACCAGACGAAATATTCATCAGGGTAAGCAGCGCCAAGCGTCGATCTATGAGATATATGCAATTCCGAAGGCCCTGCATATCCTCTGCGTGCGACAAGTATGAGGGTCGGACCCCTGATGGTACATCTAGTTTACAAGAAGCAGACGCTGTAGGGCCGCTAATGGACAGCCTGACAAATCCTAACAACCCGTGATGAACTCAGGGGACCGTCTCCGGTAAAGCCATAGCTCACTCCGAGAGTCGTGAGATAGGAAGTTTAAAAAAGCAAATGAACTTCGTTAATACGCTAATCAGAGAGATAGAGGACAGGGCGGAAGCGATCGGCACAATCAAAGTTGGTTCTCGAGTTAACAAAAATCACCACAGTAAGCCGCTCGTATGTATGGCGACTGGTGTAGTGTAAACGTACGATCAATGCACAATCAGTTTGGCTTCCCTCTATTCTACTTCTAGAGGGTTGATGTTGCAATCGTTAGATAACGCATACCAGAATGATGGAAACGATTGCAATAACGACTAATGCCTTGAAAAAGTTCACATTGGCTTAAAAATGACTTATTTAGACATGTGAGCGACGGTCGAGGAACGCCAAGCTGAAGGTCCGTTGTAGAACCGGACAAATACTATAGACAAAATCATCAAGTTCCTACTGGCTTTAAAAAAGGACGGAGGAGACCGTCGGTTAAAGTTACTAGATTCTGTTGTAAAATAACAAGATCGAATTAGATCAATAGTAGGAGGCAGGGGTCGAGATGAGTCAGGGGACGCTGGACAGTTTTCCAAAAGGATACGTTCCGTCACCCCCCCACATTACGTAGGAATTATCTGTTTCGAAGAGATTGTTTCATTAACTGAAACACGGGCAGTGGCACGGATTAATGTACTGAATCCATTGCTATTCTGAATGCATATCAAAGATATGGACATATTCAGCGATTCAACAAGAAAACCAGTCTGAGATAAACAACTGTTACTAATGATTCAATTAGGGTCCATCACAAATCATAGAAGGTTAAAATACGAAGGGAAGGATAATGATTGGTCCGGAGGTTTGCTCTGGAATAGTTCGGTCCATGGTTAGAAAGTGAATGGTTCACCATTCTCTCATGCAGACAGATCGAGTGGGGGTTGCGTAATCACAATGTCTGAGGCGATGTCAGGGTGGCAGCTAGGCTGATGGCTGTTCGGCCAGGGCAGATAGATTGAACAAACTATTTTGTGAGCACAGTGGGGGTTGGAATATGCGGGTCTCAATAGCCACTGCAATGGCGAACAATCGTAACCGCGAAACTTTCCATTTGCTCATCGGAACTGTGCTCACAACAGGTCAGTATATACTTTGGACGTCGAGACACTCGTCTCAGTTTCAAAACGGTCCCACTTGAATTGAATCGTTTCTACAGGTAGTCGCCAACGTCGCTAAAAAACGCAGCGATGTGTTTCACAACCGGGGGCTAATGACAACCATCTTCGTATCTCCAAACGTATCCAAAGAGTAGGGACAGGTTCAAATAAAAAACGGACCATCCCGAGCGGGCAAAGTACCAAACCCCAAGGGCCACTCTTACCTTGATCAATACTCGGGTATGAATCTGTAAAATAGCATGATCGTTAACCAAGCACGGTTTGATTAACGTCTCATGACGGAGGAACAGCGACAGTGTCAAGCTAAGGGATGATCGATGCCAACTCAGTTATCATTCGTCAAGCTACACGGGACCTAAAGGCGAGAAATACCACAGCTATAACGTCTATCGCAATTTATTCTCGCCCGATGATATTTCCTGGTTTCAAAGACAGTTCGTCACAGTCCCCTCTCAGTCGGCAGGTTTCGATACGTATGGAAGAGCATCAGATAGACGTTTCAACCTACTGGGTCTCGTCAATGGTGCACCTCCTTCGAACGCTTGCCGGGTTCCGACTTCATGATTTCCGGATGGCAGCAGCTTGTGGTACTAAGCCATTGGTGACGGTCGCGGACCCGCATAACTGACAATTGACTACGAGATGGCCCGCCTCCTCTTCCACTGCCATGCCACATACGAACTGTGCAGAGGACAGAGGTTGTCCTCAGAAGCTAGGACTTTCCGCAAAACGACTGGGTTGGTAGGAGACAGCACATAAACTATACGGACGGATTTTTGAATGCTAATGAGTAGTGGGAATTTGGATGTAATATCAAAGGTAGTTCGTCACAGTCCACTCTCAGGCAGCAGAGTTTGACACCGCTGGAAAAGCACCAGACAGCTGTTTCGACCTTCTGGGTCTCATCGCCTGGGTTAATGAGTAATCATTCCTAGATAGGTCATCGAAGCAAAAGTCTCGATGCGGTAGCATCACAAAGCCGATATTTGTTGACAATCTTGTGGCGGCGCATATTAGTTCATACAAAAAGTCAACTCCAAAAATCCCCACCAATGCAAATTACCCTCTTCATGACGCGCTGACTGATAGTGTATCAGCTTAACGGATCCGGCGAAAGTGTGAATTCATGTATGCTACTATACGTGTTTACTACTCAACTGGCAGTCCATAGTTGGCGTATTGTTCCGCGACTATACTACAGTCGTTCGGGAATCTAATAACAAGTTGCATTGTAGCTATATTAATGCCATCCAGTAACTAAGTTTTGCATTCGTTGTTTTAAGCTTTATAATTTGTAAAATGCTGAGTACCCACCATGCTGGATATATAAAGTTTTTTCCCGTGCTTAAAAATTGAACTGAACTAAAAGTCAAGCTAGTAGTATGGGTTAGAAGGCCAGAAAAAAGATCCAATGGATTGAACTTGGAAGAAAAAAGAGGCTTAGAATAATTTGATGGAGGAATGCGTGCTGGAGTCCAATGAGTATATTATGCTACCCGGTTGTCTATTGCCAGAAACGAGTTTTACTCCAAAGTTGCCTCCTTGAACCTGCAGCTCAAAAGTCAGATCCAACTGAGGTAGGTGGATGAAGAATTTCAGTGGAACCCAACGGTTTTTACTTTGCGTTTAGTCCCGGCGAGTGAAATGGAGAAGGTCGACTCCGATTGAAATCGCAGTCAGAAATGAGAATCCCTGTCACAATTCTAACACACAGTGGTTACTCCAAAAGGTAAATCAATTGTTGCGCTCTGCTCAATAGTAAGGTAGTAAATGTTTATGCATATTAGAACTCATATTCCCAGGAAATGAGCATCTCAATGGAAAGATGTTTGGAGAACAAGCCAATAAAACTCACCCGAATACGCAAAATAATGCACAGAGAAGCCAAGCCAGGCAACCGGATTCGGGGTGCACCGATGTCATACCGTGGTTCCGGCAGTATGGACAAGTGACGAGGACAGGGTGGCGACCGAAATGGACTACCGTCACTGGAGGTGCAGTCGGCTGTTGGGTACACACGCCACCTAAAAGAAACATGGAAAATGTTTAGGTGTTCAACCTCGAATCATCATTATGATCATCATCATCATCGTCGTCGTCATCATCACCAACACACATCAGTTGAGAGTGAGAAAGACACCTCAGCTAAGGTGCCGTAATGCAAAAAGATAAGATAGTAAAAACCACCACAAAAATTTAAAAATCAAGTAATATGAGGTTAAATATCATATTATTAATTAGCTATGAAATGGAGATCGGAAGGGGATCTGAAAGAGAGGGAGATGGAAAAAGAATCCCACAGCACAAACGCCATTGGGGCCTGCTCTTCGCCATGTCAACGAGTGTGTCCAACCAAACGTGTTCATCCTCCTTCGGACCCCAGCCAGGCAGTCGGGATGCGCCAATTAATGCCAAGTTCGATGTGAGGGTTTTCATTCCTCTTGATCAAGTCATCGATTGGCCTTCCCACCGCTTCTTCCATCCAGACCCTGGGTGTGCAAACAATGCACGTCGTGGAAGTCGGTGGGCTGGCATGTGCAACACGTGGCCCAGCCACCGGAGCCTGGTGCGTGATATAATGGAGCTGAGCAGTTCACTCGCGTTTCCTGTACCAAACACACTACGCCGAACACGCTCATTGCTCATGCGGTGCTCTCACCAGACATGTGCTAAGCTGCGAAGACAGCGATGATCGAACGTACCTAGCCTCTTCGAATAATTCAGAAAAAAGCGCTATTAAGGAAGATAAGGAGCACATTCTGGAACCAAGTGGATGTAAGCTGTCCAGTGGAAAATCAAGCACACCAGAGTGTAGAAAAACCGTGGCTTCGAGTCTGTTGGTTAGGATTAGGAAAGGTACAAAAGGTATCCGCCGTACATGGTTACATCACTTCGCTGTCAGGTTGCATGTGAGTTGGAGATACTGCAACGTAGTCTGTGGATAAGCAGAAGCAAACTAGTGACCCGTTGACTATAGGTTAGACCTAAAAACCACAAGGCGAGAGGTCGGCTAAAATGTGGAAGTAGAAGCCGACAAGCAAGATTGGGCTGTGTCAGAAACCAAAGACAAGGGGAAAATAGAAACTAGGCAGCATAATGCAGTCATAGGTGGCTACCTCATCTGTTCAGGTTCCAATGGATCGTAGTTACGACGAAACTTGCGAATCCACTGGACAGATTAGCACTGGCTGTTAGCCGTTTTCGGATTTGATTTGCACCCTCAAATTGCAAAGCTTTCCTCCAAGCTTGGCAGGGATAGCCTACTGCACTGACCCATGGTGGGGATCGGCTAGAATTCGTTCAAAAATTCAGCCACCTGGGGAGTTGTATCTTCGCCTATGGAATCGAGGAGGTCGCGAACTGTAAGCAAAAAATCGAGGCACTTTTTCTAACCTTCGCCACCTATGGCGTCGGAGCGACATCACTCTCACCCTGAAGGGTAGAGTTTACAATGCAGCCGTACGTTCGACCCTTCTACACGCTTGTGAAACCTGGCTTATTGGATCGGCAGACATAAAGAGGCTAAGACATTCGACCACCGGTGCCCTCGTATTTTGGCTCATATCTGGTGGGAACACTGAGTGAGTAATGAGAGTAACGTCTTTTTATGGCTCAGGAAGAGGAAATGAACCGCCCAACACCGTTATATCAAGCTTCAATGAGTGGGCCACATGTGACGCATGCCAGCACACCGGCTCCAGCAACGTGCGCTGTGTTCGCGCCAGGGGTGTGGATGAAAAAAAGGAGCGGTGGCCAAGTGATAACTTGGTCGAGAGGAATGAAAGCCCTTTGTTCAAAATTGGCCTCGGCTGGTTGGGTTACGAAAGACGACAAAGGTTTGGTTGGATACACTTGCTGACATGGTTAGAAGCCGACCTCATTGGCGCTTGTGCTGTGAGTTTCATTGCCCCTCCCCTTCTTGTTTAGCCACCCCTCAAACCACGACCTCATTTGCTAGCATATTACAAGTTTTACATAATTTTTTGAGGCGCAATACCGGCTGGTAGCTTTCGGGGACGATGCCTATCCGTTACTGATGGCGCAGCTGGCGTGCCACGGTTGCACGCTATTTTCCTTCCTTTCGCACGTATTACGACACAATAGTCGAGGTGTTTTCGACCTCTAGCTAATGTGCATAATGATTGAATGAGATTGCGAATCCCTACAGCGGGAAGAACAGGCAGGGTTCCGCTCTAGTCGCGGCTGCATCGAGCAAACTTTCACTCTTTGCCAGAGCATTGAGCTCCGCCATGTGTACCATAGGCCAACGATTGTTATATTCCTGGATATCTGTGTTATCTTCGATTCTGTCGACATGACTGCGTTGTGGCACTGTCTATGGAGAAATGGCATCTTCTGCGCGCTCTGTATAGTAGGACTTTGGGTAAAGCTAGGGTTTATGTCAAGCTTTGGCCCTCCTTTGTTTTTGCAATAGGAGTTTGACAAGGATGCCATATCACATCACTTCTCTTCAATTCTGCCGTTGAGAATGGCTTCAAAAACGCTCTGGAAGATTCGTGGAACACTGACGTTAAGCTCCTCCCAAGTAGCCGAGTTGCTGGTTTGGACTACGCTGAGGATCTCTTCTTGTTAGAAGATGACCCACAGCCCGTCCAACTTGCACTTAACCGCTTGGTGACTGAAGAGTTGAAGTATGGCAAGTACTTTGCTCATTCGAGTGCAAAGCAATTTTGCAAGACTGGCAGATGCTTGTACCCGCACTCACTCTTGGTAGTGAGACATTAGAGGTAGTGAAGAGTTTGCTCTACCTGAAAAGCTGCATCACTGCTTGTGAAATTGTCGGAGACGAGATTTCGATGCATCTCTCGAGAGTTCCTTTCGCTTTCTCTATATTGAGGCATTTGTGCTGCCGCCATAACATTCGTCTCTCCATCAAAGGGCGGGTTTATTGTGCGACTGTTGGCGCTGTACTCTTGTACGGTTGCGAGACTTGGGCTGTTCGTGGTGTTGAGCTGCAACAGCTGTTTGTTTTAGAACGTCATTGGTTGGGATCCATTGATTGTGTGTGGTGGCTGCACCACGTAACCATTGTTGAAGTTGGACAGCGTGTTTTGGGTGGAGGCAGCCACTCTCTCGAGGAGCTTGTCCCACCGCATCAGCTGAGGTGGCTTGGACACGTATTGCACATGGCCCTTAAGTCTCTTCCGTGTCGTGGATGGTTCGTAGTTGCTGGACAGGGCTTGAGGAGGCAGCGCGGTGGACAACCTAGGAATTGGAGATGCGGCATGAAAAAGCCGATGGAACAGCTGACCTTGGTCGGTTGTTCTCGACTTCCTGGTTGGGATTGACGAAACACGAAGTCGCCGGTTGGATAGCGTGAAAGTCATGGCTCAAGAGCGACACTGGTAATGGACGTGTATCCCTTCCTGTTCCGGCGGTTTCTTTTCCCTTCCTAATAAAAAACTATAAAAAAGCATGAGTGAGAAACTGGACAAAACAGTTGCCTTTTTCTTGTTGCGATCATAATATCTGCACTACAGATATATATATATATATATATATATATATATATATATATGCTGAAGCTGATGTTGCATTCTTGGTGATTCTTCACCGCAGTTGGGCTAAAGCAACTTACACTTAAACTAGATCCTTTTTAAGCTGGATACATTTCATTCTACTTTATTTGCTTTATTGTGCCTACCTGAATAAGCTTCTATTAACTGGCCACGTTGCTTACGCTAATTGCGCATTTGTAACATTTTTAAGTAGGTTGTGGACATATTTCACTTATCGCGGATTCGTTGCTAACCAACTTACTTCATATGCTAATTTAGCGAACAGTTTTGTCACCGTATCTGCATGCATTATCCGATTTATTTTATTTCATCTTGTCGTTTCAAGTGATTGACTGTTGTTTGATATCCCCGGTGTGACTGCGCTTGATATGTATGTTGACAAGGTGCCTAACTGTCTATTACCCACTACCTCGTCCATACTGCCTTCAGGAGACAGCTGGTTGTCGCTGGAGGGGACGGGGTGCACGGTCCTTGTGGCCGTGCTAGGCTCAAAGAGCGGTTCCATGCACTCAGTGGGGGGGCGGACTACGGTCCAGCCACCGCCTTGAGTGTGCTTGGTTCCCCAGTGAAGGAGTGTGGGCCGGCTCCGTTGATGAAACGTGGCTCCTATCCACATGCCTCCCGTTCTTATTCCTTCGGGTTTACACTGGATATGGAGTGTGTGGTTGGAGCTGTGGGTGGTGCGACGCAAGCCACCCATGATCCCTCTGTAGGCGCAGGTGTCCTGTGGCTGGCCATAGTGACAGGCAAATCCGAAACCGGATGCTGCCAACCATATATATATATATATATATATATATATATATATATATATATATATATATATGTCAAAAGCTATGGTACATATATTGTGTCGGATGACGGATTCGGGTCTTCGAGGTTGCAGGTGAAGCATACAGTTACCGGACCGTCGAGCATGCACACTGATAGAACGTTGCCAGATGGCCCACGTTAAAGTTGCTGGTAAATGGAAGTATCAAATAGGTATTCGACTTAGCTGTGCGGTTTGCGTTACTTGTGTACTGATCTATTAACGGGTTATGAGAGCTAAGACAGAGCATAACGGGCAAGTGACAATACGGTGTCTAAAGGTCTTATTCAGAGGTGAGGTTGCTCACTGTAAACGGGGATATCATCGTTAAACAAGCATATCGGAACCGCTGTGAAACCGGAAGGAAGCACTGATTCAACTAGTGTCCATATGGAAGGCCTAGTGGGATTGACAGAGATCGCAGGTACAAAATTAAGACGGACAACAGATTGATGCCACCGAAATGTAGGTGCTTTCAGCGCCCACCTCGAGCAACTTCAGTTAAATACATTGTGATACGAAAGCAACCAGTCCAGATCAAGGAAATAAGATGGATAAAGTTGGCATGACTCGTGTAGCCAAGACAAGTTAAGGTCAGCGAGAAACATGACAAAGGCATAAACAATAACTCGGTACACCGCAACGATGCTTCGCGGCCACGCGACCACCACCAGTCCTGCGAGAATTGGGTATGGTGTAACGGTCGCTAACACATATGCGAATTCGAAAAGGCGACCTCGGGATTACAGCGTAAGCCGAAATATGGGGAAAAATAAGTGGAGTATAGAGGGAATGGGAGTTGGGAAAGGTGGCCCCTTAACACTGGAAAAAAGTGGTTACGACCACGAAGTAACAGATTAAAATGCTGCACCTGCAAGTTAAAAATGCAAAAAGAAACGATGGTCAGTCACTTGCAGCAAACTGGAAACCAACTTACTTTGGGGAGGTACGTGGGGCATATAATTCGGACCACCGGGTGTGACGAAACCGACAGGAGGGGGATATGGGGCATAAGGCACGCCTGACTGGGGAGGAACGGCAGGAGGGTATGGCGCCTGATAAGCGCTGGGATAAGCCGGTCCAGCGTTAGCGAGGTAAGGGGCCGAAGGGCTGTAAGGTGGTGCTGAGATGGGAGAAGAAATGTGCAAGCTAAAATGTCGGATGAAGAATGGGGAACAAGGGAGCACACAAACCCGTATTGCACCAATCGAATGGAAAGGACTTGTAGGCAATACAGCCATTCTACATAAGGGAGCCGTAAAGCAATAGTCAGGCTTGTAATCACATTATTGAAGCACAATGGAAAATCTAAAGCGAGCACAATTCAATGTAAAACGAGTAAAATGAGACAAATTTAAAAAGAAAATCAGCCGTCAAGTCTAACTGTACAAAAGCTTGCGAACCAACTCATGTGAGTAATAAATGCCACTGATGCTGATATGAGGTTACCACAAAACGCAATACAAAAGATCGAGGTTCGCTAGCACATACAAATCATCTGGTATGCACACCCGTGCAGCCATCGGTTTTCGCCCGAACGCAAGGTACAGTTAAAGACCAACATCTCCCTGGAGAATGTACTGGGTCACCAGAGTAAACAGCAGGTGATGATCGTACACCAGATGCATTTAGATACAACCCACAGTATCCTGGAGGATAAGCACTGAATCGAATGTTTAAATGATGTCCAAATGCCACGTTGAATGGTATATGGGTCCAAGATAAGTTAACTTAAGTAATAGTCAGAAGCACCATTAATAATGTGTATTCTTAGTTTTACGCTGTAAACCTTTTCCGGCATGACCAGGATTTAAAACCACAGAAGGGAAAAATGCATTTATAAAGAGCAAGAGCTGGAGCAGATTTTAAAGAAAAAAGAAAAGTCAAAGGTGCAATTAAAGTAATACGGTCATTTATGGAACCGTTTCCTGGAGACCTGCTTCCATTTGGGGGATTCTATTGAAAAGTTTCACCCGCACTTTAACTTCCATCTGGCAATGTGCCGGTGTGACTTAAAAGCATGTAAGCCATCACCCCTTTGATTCATCTCTCAGGTCATTTTTATATGCAATTAGGGCAAGCATTTCAGAACAATCTGGCCGCGTTCCGGTATGGCATAAGATCAAACAGGCCATCACCGCTTAGACTCTTTTTCGGGGGCCATTTTTGTATGCAATTTGGCCCATTTACCCCTATGATCATATCACTTTTTGCCGCCAGTGAATTTGTGATATTTCGCCTTTCGTGGGTACACTGATTACTTTAGAAGCGATAGACTAATTCAGGGCCAAAAATAAAATAAACAATAATAACAATAATTATGCAGTTTATGATAACACGAGAAATGATCTTTTGGAGGGAGTTCGATCAGTGACTACATGCATATTGTGCGATCCATTATAAAATACATACCGGGGACTTTAGTAATAACAAAAGCAGAGGCTAAAATAGCTGAGCGTGGCATTTTGGCATGTGCATAACAGTGAAGAAAAGAGGGAGGAGATTCTATTTTTGTCACACCGGAAGGAATAATGTATGGCGTATTAGCGAATACAAGCACGTCCATGGATAAGCCGACAGTATAACTGCAATATCAAATGTGTTCTATGTCCCTATTTTAACCGACCTCCAAAAATCATGGAAAAGAGAAACGCGAAGTTGTTTCTCCACGCCTAACGTCGGTGGAAATAGAACTACTAGTCTTGATTCTTGTTCGTTGAATCACTCCGTACCGGCAATCCCGGATTACAGAACTGGAAACTGAACGTAAATTATAGCCCACATATTTCCACTGCTAAATGTGTTAGAATAGCGTCCCAGATAACTCAGGCCAGCAACGGCTGTTTCGCTGTAAGAACTAGTGCGTTAAATGCAGTCTTTCCATCCATTCTGATAGATGTTCTTATACAAAATTTTATTCTAATGAAATGCTTTAACCTATCAGGTGCCCTGTACTTTAACACAACAAGCCGGATTAGAGTGAATGTGAGTTATCAGGAATCATTTTGACCATAATTGGTATTCCTCAGGGTTGACCAATTTCCTCATTTGTTCGTAATCCTCGTAGTTTGTTCCCTTACGAAATCGCACAATGCTGACGTCGCAGTGCTGCCTGGGCGAGAAGTTCATTGCTGTTGAATATGCGAACGATATTAGCTTAAACGCTGACCATGTTGTGTCCAGTTAACATCACTAGAGTAATCCCAGAATTTGGCATGCGCATAGCACGTTCCAATTGCAAAGCCTTGGTACAAGACTCTTATCCTCTTAATGTTCACCTGATCGTGGCTGGGAGCAACTCAATAACTGAACACCACATTTAACTGCGTGAGCAAAGATAGGCTCATAATGACCAAAGTTACTTTTAATAATGAAAAATAAGAACGGCTGCTTTGAATCTGTGATATGTATGGCGTCAAAAATGGTTTTCCGTCTTTCTAAATACCGTGCATGCAAGGCCACTATGAGGAACGCACTATTCCATGAAAGCGAGAATTGAGCCCTCTGATCTGTGGTGCCTTCGCTTTCTGCAAATTATTTCTATTTTCTGATAGCACCAGCTTGTCCACAAATATGATGTATATAAGCGAGTAATAAGCAGTGATATTGAAGCATGTTCCTAAATGTTACAGACAGCACAAAATAAACTGCGTTTGCTTGGGCGGTTTCTACGTATACCAGATCAAGGATAACGGCCTGGTTTTGTCTGCCATTTGTCGTGCATTACCCGGACTGAACACAAGTAGACTTTACGGCGCTAAATGGAGGCAATGAATGTAGGCTTGGCACCGGTGGATCACGGGACTGATTGATTCGCTACCCAAATTAGCGCTAACGCGACGTCACATGATCCGACCGGGAGGGAATGTGCTTTCATTTCGTGCGCTCTTCCAAAGCTGGGGAAACGTGAAACAAAGATTTCAACAGAAACGATGCGCATATACTGCTGACTTTAAATTGAAAGTTATCGCATTTGCCGAACAATCTAATAATTTTATGGCCGCATGCCATTTCATTGTAAATGAAAAAAACAAGTGAGAGTAATGGCGAAAGAGAAAGGCAAAATTGTCACTAATGCCTGTAGGCAAGTAAGCATTACGCGGTAGAAAACCTCTTTCTTGTCGTGGAGGAAAAGTTAGGGCACTGAGTGATAGAGTCACGGGCACAGCAGGTGGTGCTAAGGGGAGATAGGGGGAGAGATGTGCGGTGGATTTTTCGGTGGATTTTGCGTCTTTTTTCAAATTGCGAATAGCTTTTTTATAAGCTGACCACCCACTATGAAAATGGAAGATTGACCAAAATTTTTCGGCTTATGTTCAGTAATATACGATAGATTCCAATGATGAAGGGGACTTGACCAGTTGGTAAAGAACGACTCCAGCACTTTCTTCAATCTGAATGTGAACTCTTCGAGGAGATAAAGGATTATGAAGTGTAGGCAGAGAATAGGAGATGGAAGGTGGGGGCGGGAGATGGATGCCTGGAGATTATTAGGTCAGCATTCATATACCTATCCATCTGCGCAATCGAAGCAAAAGAATTCTTTAGTAGTACACGTTCAAATGCCTAAATGGAAGCTGAACTTCTGATGTCTTAAAGCAAGCTATTCCATAGCAACGGATATTTCAGAGTAAAAGTTAACATACCTGATGTGGCCCTCGAACCCAGCAACATGGGTCAAATGAAGTGATAATGAGAATAATGTATATTCTCAAATACACACGTGACGCACAGACGAAGTGTATTACGTAAGGAGAGGTTAAAGTTCACAAACGAAATGCATTTAGTAAAACAGTGGGTCCCCTTCAGCCATTTCGTTAAGGCAGAGAGAAGACAGAGGTTGCGATATGTCAATATTCCGATTGTTCTCTTTAGTCGCAAACACAATACGGGCAGAAACACAGGGAAAAAATAAGTACCACCAATCAAATTGTCACAGTCAAGACCATGGCAACTGAATTGATTGCCTCAAGAGTTTCTGTGCATATAGCACAGGTTGATGGGCCTTAATTAACAACGCCTCATTAATTGCTAGCATTATCGGGTTTTTGTTACGTAATAACACTTTGAACGCTGTCTCGGAATTCATGTGATGACGGGTTGTCATGTGCTTGGTGAGAGACGATATCGGGCTCCGATTGATTCTCAGATTCGTCCCATGTTTTTGCGTAATCACTTGTCCCATCCACTTTGGCAAATGTTCAGCTACCCTCTGCCTATGTAAATGTCACCGCAACCGCAGGTGAATTGATAAACAACGTGAGAGGCCGAATTACCTGACGAGATGCTCTGACGATTATGAAGAACAAGTGCTTGCGTGGTATGCCTCAGTCGCAACTGGGCTGTCGTGTAGACTCGCGTTAAGGAGGACCGAAGCTTGCGTCCAATATCATTTGCCACATGGTACCCCTTAAACGGCAAGAACAAATAAACATTCTTTTTCTCAACCATCAACACCGGCGTTCTCACGCTGGGATGTCGTCTGTGTACCTGAATAAACTTCTCAGGATATCCATTAGAAATTAAGGTCTTGCGTAGAAATGCTTCTTCGGCTTGTAACGTTTAGGGGCGGCAAATACGTCTAGCCCGGTAGAAGAGACTTCTCACTAAGCCGCATTTGCATGCGATCGAAGCGAAGCTTGAAAAATGAAGGTACTGGCTAGTTCAAGTCGATTTGTGGTGAACAGTGCGCAGCAACGTACCTTCAGCCTGTCTCCTAATGAGTATATCCAAAGACACCAGGCAATTGTGTTGTTCCACTTCATGGGATACCGACAGATTAGGGTGAATCGAAGTTAGCAACCGGTTAAAGCGTTCTCCGCTGGTGAAGACTAAAATGTCATCCACATATCGTCTGTACAATTTCGCTTAACCAATGCTGGCAGCAACTTGCCTTTCTATAAGGCCGAGTAAGATGTCGGCTAAAACTGGTCCCATAGGGCTGCCCATAGCGACCCCGTTGACCTGTTTGTATGCGGTCCCCTTAACTTCAAACCGTATGTTCTCGGTGCATAATAGAATCATATCCTTTAAATACTCCACTGGCAGGTCAACTGACATATTTTGACTAGGATAAAATCACATAAATTATTAACCGTCTCACGTAAAGGCACATTTGTAAAT